ACATCTGAAGTGATTAAATTACTTTTACTTTTCAAGGTTACCTGTTTTATTTTCCCCACAGGATTTTTTCATCATCCAGCACTATGAGTGCTATTGTTGTGGTTGGTTGTGTGGAGTTATGCCCAATTCATGGTGACCCCATGCACAATGGGATTGCAATGTTGGGACCCACCAGGCTTTCAACGGCAGATTTCTGGAAGTAGATTGCCAGACACTTCTTCCTAGTCTTAGCCTGGAAACTCCACCAGTCACATGTGTCTCTCCACTGACAGGTGGTGGCTGTGCATGAGGCATAATGGCTGATAACTGGACCCAGGTCTCATGCATCGAGGACCAGAGTTTCTCCATGGAACCACCTTATCATGAATACTGACCCACAATACCTTCCACTGGGGGTGGGAGGGCAAGTCATCATTTCCCATGGATTTTTTAGGTAATCCGATGCCCTAATTTAATGACCCAGAGCAGCATGACAACTCCCCAAACAGGTGGCTTCACAATTTGATGAGGGATCAGGCCTTAGTATTATTGGAAATGCACCAGATGATTTTAGCAGGTACAGGGGAACATTCACTTAACTTTTTTTTTTAATATATAATTTGCATATATTTTTATGAATATCTTTTGTTTATGCCAAATGGTATTCAAGTGCAGATTTTTATTTGCAACAAAGAAATATGAACTGTGACATTAAGCACATTTAAGTGTTAAGTAAGTCAATTTATGGAGTCCTGGTGTGATACTGTGGGTTAATGAGCCAGACTGCAAAGCCATTTGAACTGCAAGGTCAATGGTTCAAGCTCACCACCTACTCCTCAGAAACTCTATACAGGGCCACTATGGGTCAGAACTGACTCAATGGCACTTAACAATAACAACAACAAGTCAATTTATGCAGACTACTGGGTCAAACAGTATGAGGGCACCCCGAAGGTGATAACATGGATAACAGATTTGGGACGGAATGTTGTGCAGGAATGAGTGTTGAAGAGTAGAATTGTTAGTTTTGTGGTAAACAAGGCTGACAGACCTCAGGGATGAGGGAGCTACCATAGGTAGGTACGACCAGGCTTGTTCAGAAGCCATGTTCTATTCTGCTCTGCGTCCATTTAGGATGTAGAACCACGGGAGAAATGTAGAAAGTGTGGGTATGTTTACAAAAGAGTAAAAAGAACCCATAAACATCTTGAAAACAAACCTAGAAGAAAAAACGGCATTTTCCAAAAAAAGGAAAGAAAACAGGAAATGACTTTAACTTCCAGCAGCAAAAATTACTGTTGGCCATAATTAGAGTGTCCTCAACAGGGATCACTGGGCCATTTGGAGGCCCCCTCCCCTCCCTGCTTAGTCTGGGTGGAGTGAAAGAGAGAAGAATGAACTATAGCAATGGGGAGAAAGTTCCAGACACAACGACATGGCATGGTGGGCTATTTGCACTGGCTGTCAACCTCCCACCTCAGTTTCCTCACTAATGATCAGAGACAGCCATTCCTACCACACACCTGTCTATGCCTCCGACTTGCTGAAAAGCCAGGAAGTATAAAAAGTCACTTTAGGTCTTGACAGACAGCTATCCTTAACAACACCTAATTCTTACACTTCATCTAAACATATGTTGGTGGGAAATAGGGAAATCCATAGGTAAGGCTTGGAATACAGTTTTGTTTTTGTTTGTTTTTTGTGTTGACAGAGTGAGAGGTTAAGAGTTCATATATCATCACAGACTAAAGAGATGCGGGAGAAGGGAAGCAGGTTCTCAATTAAACTTTCAAGCCGGCATCCAGATACGTCCTTAAATAACTGAGTACCCACGAGATAATAAAGACACTCAGAAAACTCTAAGTTATTGACAGGTTACAAATGTTTTCATAAGTAGAGCTGTTAGCAGTGGTAAGATTCCAGCAATAAATTAATTAAGCAATTAAGAATCTACATGCAGTGGCCTCTACTTTTTCTGACTGATGGAAGTACAAAGAGATGTTCCTAAAGAAGTTGGCAAATGATGGCAGATGAGTTGATTGTTTCTGTGCTTTTTACTTCATGGTCCCATTTCAGTCTTACCACATCAGGATAAAATCAGTCTCATGATTATCCCCATTTTATAGATGAGTAAACTGAGATGCAGGGAAGATGAATAACTTGTCCAAGCTAATAAGGGATGCAAAGCTAGTCAATATGACTCTTCCAGCATCCACACCCTAGCCAGTCAACTGAGGAAGCAGCCAACATTTGAGGGCTAACACGCTCAGCTGACATCCACAAGATTAGCAGTTCAAATCCACCCAAAGACCTTTAAAGCAAGGCCAGGCAACAGACTCTGGAAAAACCAGCCACCGAAACCATATGCAGCAATAACCTATTCTGCTTGATGGCAACTGTTAAGTGGTCCACCTTAGGAAGTTGTTGTTGTTGTTAAGCGCCATTGAGTTTGTTTCGACTCACAGCTACCCTGTATAAGGTTTTCAAGGAGCAGCTGGAAGGTTTGAACTGCTGACCTTGTGTTTCACAGTTCAATGCTGATCCTACAGTGCCACACCAGCCGTCCATCTTAGGAAGCAATCACTATTAATATGTTAACTTTACAACGAGCATCTGAGGAGGACACAGACTGAAAGGGCTTCCTCATCAATGAGAGCAGGGTTTCTCAATCTTTTTTTTTTTTTTTTTTCATGATTGGCCCTACCCTGCCTCAATGGAGTCTTTTTAAGACATTGTTTGTTGTAATTACCCCTCATGAAAGTTTAATATTAGATACTTTGTACCTTGTTTATGCGCTTTATCGTGCATGTCTACTTTGTGCAGTAGTAACATGAGTAAGATTTTGGTCTCCGCCTTTGACAACCCACTTTCCTCTCCAATGAGAGGACATCACCCAAGTAGTTTGCTGTTTCCCAGGCAAGGAGTTCACCCATTCTCTTCTTCAGTAGTTACTGAGTGAAAGGAGTTAAGCATAAACAAGAGCTTAGAATGGGGTGGCAGCATATACGTGCAGTAACACACACAATGAATCCACATGACAACAATCGGAACAGAGGCTGCTGTAAGAGGAAGATTAATTCGAGGGGCAGGAGGGAACTTTCTGGGGATGTGGAGATTTTTTTAAACTTGATCAGGTGATACTTAGGTGTGCCCACGAGTTAATTTCGATCAAATGATACACTTAGGAAATGTGCATTTACTGTATATAAATTACACCCCAATAAATATACTTTAAAAAACCTATCTTCTAATATGAACCTCAAAGTCAGTGGTTCAAGTTCACCTGCCGCTCCTTGGAAAGCCTATACAGGGTCGCTGTGAGTTGGAGACGACTCAGCAGCATTTGACAACAATCGTATGTGACAATCTGGGTACTTTAAATTGGTCCCTGAAGACCCTATGCAAATGCTCTGTGCTACCACCATGTTGTCAGGGAAAGCAAACCGACCCTTTCCTCTGGTTTTACCAGTGTCTGCCTTAGCCTCCCATGCACAGCTCTGACGACCCTCTGTTGTATATGGGTCATTACAAGGTGGTAAAGTCTAATACATTCCTCATACATCAATAAAGGATCTGAGAGCTTTCACACAAAGGTAGACCTGGAAATGAAGTGCCCTGAGGTTTGTAAAATGACTTTGGAAAAAGATTACAAAAGCCCATGAAGTCACAAAGGGATAAGAAGCGAGGGGGATCACTCCGTTCCCAGACTCAGAGAGCATCTATCTGTCTCTGGGCAGCAGCCCACGTGTTGCCTTGTGACATGGTTTGTCCTTTGGCACGGAATGTTCATAGCTGCACTGTTACTTTGCTTTCTACATGCTGACATCATTCTACCCCCCTGGATCAGAGAAGCCCTGTGGTGGGCAATGTGTCTTTACACCAACTTGTTGCCTTCAAGAGCCATGCACAGTGCCCGACGAGTGTTTTAAAATCCGATTTGTGCGATGCTGTTGCTAATGAAACAACAAATTTTCTGAACCAAAAATAGGACCAGGATCTGAAAAACAATTCTTTAGCAACCTCTGTATGTGAGACACTGCCAACAAGTCACAATTTAAATGCAATCTATCAAAATTTCTAAGACATGAAAGAATTTAGGAGCACAACAGAAAAAATATTCTAAATCATGCCTTTCTAGAAAATTCAGGAAATAAGGACAATATAACTATGAAACAGCAGTTCCGTGGGAGAAAGATGAGGCTTTCTGCTCCCGTAAAGATTTATAGCCTCGGAGACCCTGTTCAGGGTTGCTGTGAGTCGGAACTGACTCCACGGCACACAACAACAACAACAATTATGAAACAACTTCAAAAGTCTTAGTCTATCAGTAACAGAGTATTCAGTTCATAGAGGGAGAAAATTGGTAGAAAGAACGCAACAAAACTAAGATCTTGTATTTGTTGAGAAGATCTACATAGTATATTGCTTAGCATGGTATACACATTGTTTTATCCAATCGGCACAGGAAGTCCTGGAGGTGGGTGCTAGAGCACTTTTATAAAGACTCAAGGGGTCCAATATAGGATAGTGGAAGTAGAAGATGAAGTAGTAAAGTGGGCTGAAACCCTTGGTTTTTGTGCTCACCACTATACTGTTTTCCTTACCTGACCGCTAACCTCCAATCACCCTGTAGGGTGAGTCCCACTGCCTCTCACAGATGGGAAACTGGGTCACAGAGAGGGAGTGGCAGAGCTGAAATTCGAACCAGGATATGGTTACGTATCTCAAAACCTTCATTCTTCATCACTCCATAGCCTACTTCTCATGTGTATCTAACTTTGTAGGTCATGGATATAATTTTAGCAGCTTGCCAAGAAAAGAGTAGGTCACATTTGGGATGTGTGTTTGGCTGACTTCTGGGGTACACTTCATGGAATGCAGCTGGTCACATGAGCCTAGGAGCCAACGCCTGCGCAGAATCTGGAGGCGGGCTAGCAGACACAGAGGCCTGTTTGAAGTTGTGCGATGCTGTGCTCAGCGTGGACCGTGCTAACCCAGCATCTCCCTGTTCCCCAGCTCACCTGCACAGTGTGTACTGTGTAGATCTTCTTCAGGTTGGATGCACACTCCGCTGCTGTGGCACCAGGGAGGGATCTAAACGAAAGAACAAACGGACGAAATGAGCAGGCAGAGTGGAAGAAACATTCCTCAATGTAATTCTGCAGGTCTTGAGAAAAATCAGGCCTAAGACCACAGAACTGGGTATTTCTGGGATGCTATTTAGAATTCAAAATGTGAAATTCCTATTTCGTGAAGCAATGTTTTCACTTCTTTTAAAAACAGGCATACTTATTCTGGGGAAAATTTAATTGAAAGGAGGATGTAAGAAAGGTATTCAAAGCCTTAAAACCACATTTTAAAATATACTAAAATAATCTTGTAATGAAATAAGACAATGTCCCTTTTGTACAGATCACAGTGAAAATGCAGGGTCCTGACTTGGTTATAAATGTGAAAACTACACACACACACACACACACACACACACACACAAACCCTCAAAGGACCATCCACTCTTTCTCAAGCACTCCGAGAGAAATACTGAGTCACCTTTTGTTTACTTTAAGAAACATTATTAAAGTCAACTTCAGTTTCATCTGAATCTGCAAGCATTTCCAAAACACGAGCCTTCAAAATACTTCAGTAATTGTCTCCAGTTGATTTAATTGGCTCAACTGAACCTTGCGGTCAGAATATATTAATCTTTAGTTTGCAGTATGTTCCACTAGATGGCAACATACCACAGGTTTATTCAGCAGAAAAAGCACAAATTTTAGAACCGGCTTTACCATATCCTGGAGGAGCGGGTAAAATTAGATCACATCAATCCATAAAAGTGAAGACTTTCCATTCTTGTGCCCCCTTTCTTCCTCCCTGTACCCACCAGCTGCTCCCTGGAAGCCCTCTACAGGCCCACTCTGAGTCAGAAGCCACCGGACAGCACTTAACAACAACAACATACTGAATTAGAAGTTTCTGCTCAAGAATGTTGGGGTCTAGCCCCATCAGGCATAAGATAACCCACCTCACAAACGAAGCTGGAGTGTCCCATGCTTGATGGGGAGGCTAAACGTGAGGCTGGCTGAGAGAAAAAAGTAAACAAGCTCACGGCTGACCTTCTAGAGCATGAAATTGACATCAGTCCTTACTGCCAAAGACACAGTCCCCAGGGACCCATGAAACACTTCCTGGACAGCCTTTGCATCATTGCACACTAGAGAGGCATTCAAAACTCACATGCTCTCGAAGGTACAGAGGATGGCCCTGCAAAGGTTAAGGGTGGGGACCTAGGCAACGATGGATATCCCTAGTATTAAACTGAGTATCAAAAGCCCATTTCTGAACACAGCTCCTTCATGCAGAGCCACACCAGTTGCCCTGGAGCTAATTCCAACTCACAGTGACCTCTAGGGCAGAGCAGAACTGTTCTGTACATAGGGCTTCTCAGGCTATAATATTTACAAAGAGCCCTTGGTGGCACGGTGGGTTAAGACTGGCAGACTGCTTCTGTAATGATTTACAACCTTGGAAACCCTATAGGGCAGCTCTACTCTGCCATCAAACGTCACTATGGCTTGAAATTGACTGAATGGTAATGTTCTACACTCTAAAGTCTTTACGGAAGCAGACTGCCACATCCTTCTCTCACGGAGTGGCTGCTAGGTTCCAAACGTGGACCCCTCTGTTAGGAGCTCAGTGTTTCAGCCAATGAGCCATGGAGGCTCTTTTGGAGGTCACTGACCTATGTCATGGAGTTGACTTGACTCATAGCGACCCTATAAAGGGTTTCCAAGACTGTAAATCCTTATATGAAGACAATTTTATCTTTCTTCTATGGAGTGGCTGCTGGGTTTGAACCATCATCAACCTTTTAGTAAGCAATCCAGTGCATATCCTACAGTGCAACCAAGGTTCCTCTGGAGACCACAAAGGAAGCACACTTATGGACTAGTTTGGTGGCAAACAAGGGACCGGCCAAATTCAATAAGCGCAATTTTAAACAGTGGCTTTATAACTCTTTCTTGTTGGTCACAGATTTGGTGAACTTTTAAAAAAAGTTCATAGCCGCCATGATTGAACATTGTTGCCAAACTTGAAGTCTAAAACCACCATGTTGAAGAGCGTAGTGAAGAACGAGGCACTCATTCACAAACTTGCTCATGGGGGCGCCTTGAACTGGGTGATAAAATACATCCATCTAGTAAGGAGCTCTGGTAGCGTAGTGGTTACGAATCGGGCTGTGAACCTTAAGGTCAGTGGTTCGAAACTACCAGC